TGCACTGAGCCAAAGCAATTTCCAAGTCTGTGACCTCCTGTTACTTACGTGGCAATAAAAATGATTCTGATTCTGATTCTGATTTAAAATCACATGTAAAAATGTGGCCAAAAGTGGTACTGCAGCTTCTCCCACTCTCCCTGACTCAGGTTGCCAGATATGCAGACGAATCCAGCTGGGACCATAACAGCTGAATAGACAAGAGTTTTGTCAACAACAAATCTATAACCAACACCTTTTTCACAAAGATAGAAATCCTGGTTTTATTCCTTGTTTTGTCGGTAATGATTTGAGAATCATAACAAGACCTTTTTTAGTTCTGTGCCACATGGTACTTTACCAGTGAGATTAGCTCCACGCGGTGAGTTCTGGCGCCCGGATCACAGACTTTCTGATTGGTGAAACGGTGGAGGGCGGGACATCGAAATGAAAACAATAAAAAGATATAAGGGCTGTAAAGGTAATTTTGAAATTAAAATATCTCTGAACTATTGTTATCAGTTAAAGAAGTATTGGAAAAGAGCAGTTTATTATTATGACAGATTAGGGGCCTTTAATGATGACAGATTAGGGCCCTTTAATGATGACAGATTAGGGCCCTTCAATGATGACAGATTAGGGCCCTTTAATGATGACAGATTAGGGCCCTTTAATGATGACAGATTAGGCCCTTTAATGATGACAGATTAGGGCCCTTTAACCTTTAATGGTGAAATCTTACATATTGCTTTTTTTTTTTTTTTAAATCACACAAGGAATTAAAGACTGTGGTTATTAAATAAAATTGTCAAAGTAGACGCCTCTCATTTTAAAGGAGACCGTTCCAACATGCATTTAAGTATAAAAACCCATAAAACCACCATCCCTCTTGCACGCCCTGACAGATATTCAACAAAATAGGATTCAAAACATAATATTCTAAAGGTTGTCGTTGTTCAAACTATGGTCCACAACTTTACAGATGGATCCTGGTGAACCATCCAGACCACAGCCTTTCACAGTCCAAGATATAACATTGTATTTGTGAAGTTTTGTAAGAGAATACAGCGAGTTCGGAGAAGACGTCTGTGTGAGCAGGGGGCGTCGGTGTGAGCTGTCGTTGCCGGGAAACTGCCCCAAACAAATCCTGAAGTGAAAGAAGAGCACAGAGCATAGAGCTGTTCTCTGTCTCCAAGGTCAATGTCCAATCCAGTTCTTCTCTGGACCAGCGATCTCTCCCCGATGTGTGAAGCAGGTAAGAGACCCATGTCGTACCGTCACTGTATTAGGTCAGGTTTCAGGGTGTGGCCGTGGTTATGTAACGCCAGGTCGTTGGGGAAATCTGTCTAAAGGTTTTGTCTAAAAACAGCTCAGGAATAGTTTTTTACCAAACCCTGAGTCTCACAGAAAGGAGCACTCCCTAAATCAGGGGTCCCCAACCTCTTTCTCCATGGAGGGTCTTTCAGAGAGCTCCCCCCTTAAAGATGCAGTGATTATTTAGCTTTTTTTGAAATATTGTGGAAAACGTCCGTAAACCCTAAAAGTATCAAGGTCTCACGTGTTTTCAAATAGTAATGGAACTGACCAGATGTCTTTAGTCTACAAAAATGTATGAAAAATATTTTGGAGATTGGGACCAATGGGATGTGTTTACCCCCCGGAGTGCACCGGAGTTATCGGATTTTCTAAAACCTAAAATGGCTGAACAGAAAATGCCAATTTCACGTTTGCTTCACTCTCCCTGTTGTGACAAAGAAAAGAAAATGCTGGATGTTTGGTTTGGTGAAGAGGGAGGGGAGGGGGGAGTGGTTTGGTGGAGAGGGAGGGGAGGGGGGAGTGGTTTCCAGCTGGTGCTAACGGCTAAGCTAACAACATCGCTAACTTCACCTTTAATAGAATTCTAAGGTTTTGCACACAGCAAGTTTGCATTTACAATAGTGGTGAGCATTTTAATAAAAGATTTTGAAATTTTCGGCAAAGTTGTGAATTTCTAGATTCTTTGGGGAGCTGCCTGAGGGGGCGGAGAGATCTTGTACAGCATGGCCTTTTCAAGCGGAGACATTATCACAGAGTTAATGGCAGTGTTGAATAAGTAAGGCTGAGTTTACACAGAGACAATGTGGCAGTAAAACGGTATAGTTGGATGTCGGTTGCTACCAACCGTTCATACAAAGACTGTGGTTCAGGGGGGTGAAAACGTAAGTGTTCAGATCCAGCCTGCAGAGTGGGACAACTCGTGTGTCGTGTTGTAAAGTTTATCTGCCCACTACTGGCCGGGCGCTAGAACTACATCGTTTTACAACCTCATGTGAACGCTGAGAAATTTGCATTAGGAGCCAGGTTGTTTCTGTTAATAGCCTGGAAACGTCTGCGCAGCGTCTCAGTATAAACAGGGCCTTAGTAAGTAAGTAATGTTTATTTATATAGCGCATTTTACAGACAAAAGGTCACCCAAAGAGCCTTACAATGATCAGAGTCAGATATTGTTCCAAGATTACAGTAGATAAGCTTTTATTCGTCCTACAGAGGGGACATTTTAATCTCATAGTTGCACATTACAGCAGGATATAAGAAAGGAGAACATACGAGACTCAGATCGCACACATCAAACAGATAAAATAATATAAACTTTATTAATCTCATAATGAAGACATTTACAAAAGAGAAAGAAAAGAAAAAACCAGGGGATAGCCCGATAGGCCTCATGGTATCTTCCCTGCCAGGTGAGGGTCTATTATTTAAGATTACTAATATTGGGCCTCATTCACGAACCGTACTTAAGAACAAATTTGTGCGTAAATCTTACTTACGAAGATTTTACGAAGATTGTGGCATTCATGAAATTTTCTCGTAACCAGAATTTCACTTGGGTACGTACAAATCCTACAAATGCTCAGGAGCACTCGTACGCATATTCTGTGCCGACATGTTCGCACGCTGGTGTTATGAAGTTCAATAAAACACGACATTACAGTGATATGTCCGTCATATTGATGTATGTATTTATTTATTTAATTGTTCATGTTAATTTAGCCTGTTTTTTTATTCATTTTGAAATGAAATGTGCCAACGCTTTATCAAATACATTGGAAATCTTGCCGTGTATTAGTGACCCCATCCTATTTATAGGAGTGCGGTAAAGTTAGTTTTATATTGGATATTCAACACATTCAACTAATCTACTAGGGGGCATTTCTTTATCCACGGGCCACAGAACAATGACATATATAATGCTGCTGCAGGAGGTTACTGGGTCCGCGCTGAGTCTCTGCACTGGTCTCTCCCATGGATCCATACGGGTCTGCACTGGTCTCTCCCATGGATCTATACGGGTCTGCACTGGTCTCTCCCATGGATCTATACTGGTCTGCACTGGTCTCTCCCATGGATCTATACGGGTCTGCGCTGGTCTCTCCCATGGATCCATACGGGTCTGCACTGGTCTCTCCCATGGATCTATACAGGTCTGCACTGGTCTCTCCATATGGCTCCTGGATCCATACCGGTCCGCGCTGGTCTCTCCAGTCCATGGTCTATGCGGTCTCTCTTCGGTCCGTGCTGGTCTCTGCGCACCGGTCTCTCCAGTCAGGTCACTACAGTCTATCTATGCGGTCTCTCCTGTCCGCGCTGGTTTCTGTGTGCTGGTCACTCCAGTCTCTCCTCGGGTCTGCATTGGTCTCAGCGCTGGTCCGCGCTGGATCTCCTCCCAGGGTCCAAAATATTTTGAGATTAATCTCAAAACATTCTGAGATTCATTTTTAAATTAAGCTCATAACATTTTGAGATGAATCTCATAATATTTCGACTTTTAAGTCAACATTTTATAACTTTATTCTCAGTCTGACCAAAGAAGAAAAAAGGGTGACTCTTTTGCTCCGTGTAACTCTTTACTTTAGGCCTGTTACTGTTTCCTCTGGCGTCTGCACACGGCCCTGCAGTCCCTTATATGGGCATTAATGGGCGGTTACCTATGCTAAGTACCTATGCTAATGAATCACCGGGCACGCGCGCTGTACTTACGAGGAGTTGGCATTCATCAATCTAAGAGAACAACTGCAAACAATTCAGCGGCTTACGAGCGCGTTGATGAATCCCACGTAGGGTCTTCTTAGAAATCTACTTAAGAACGACTTAAGAAGAAATTTAAGACGTTTCTTATGAAGTTATTTGTGAATGAGGCCCAATGTACTTTAGCTGCAGAGAATAATAATAAACAATGGAAATAACCGCAGTGAACAAAAATATCAGATGAGTTGAATATAAAATAATGTGGTAATAATAATACCAACAGCAACAACAGGTACACAGCCAACTTCCCCAGTGTGAGATCATACAGTCTATCTAATCTGATCTTTAAAGTGATGAAAAATAAGTCAAAAATTGCCCAGATCTGGCTACATGTATCCTAACTTGAGCACATTCTGTCTGCCTTAAAACATGATTTGCTAAATGGGACAAAACAAAAATATCCTGTTTTAAAAAGAAATGTCTCCCTTAGAATGGGAAAAAGCGTTTGAAAAAGGACTGAGTGGCTTGGTCCTGTTGGTAAATCCTGTTTTAACACACTCAGAATGTGCTCAAAACAAGATAAAAACCACTTGATTCTGGCATTTATTACCTCATATCTAGACATTTTTGCTGTGAATAAAGTGACAAGTGGATTTTCACAACTGATAAACCAGACTACTGAGCAAGCCATACAAGATACAAGAATGTATTTGCCATTTGCAGTAAAACCACATTGGAAAAACTGTGCGAGACTCCCCCAGTGTGCACCAGGAGCAGTTGTGAGCATTAGCAGCTGAGGGTATAGATCTTAACTGGACAAATCAAACGCAGGCTGTGGTCCTGGGCCAGGTGTGACAGAGGCAGCTCGTGTCATCTGTCAGAAACACACACCTCAGTCTATAGTTACACTGTCTGGATACAGTTATCGCCCGTAACACAATCTCTCCATCTTTCAGCGCTTTGTTGTGAGCTGGTTTAAGTACAGTCCTGTCGCTCTCTGGCCTCACAGCAGCATGGTCAACGACAGCAAGTCCAAGCGGCCCAAGGGGAAGCCCATCAGCTTGAAGATGGCCCAGAACTGCCTGGAGCTGACCAAGGAAGGCAAACGCTTCCTCAATCTCAGCTTCAAGGAGATCACCAGCGTCCCCAAGTGTGTGCAGAAGCTGCCCGAGCTGGACCAGCTGGACCTGAGCCGGAACCTCATCCGCAAGATGCCGGACTTCATTGAGTGTTTCGCCAGCGTCACCGTGCTCGACCTGCACAGTAACTATGTGAGTAGCACGACGTGGAGGAAAGTATGGACCACATGACGGTTTTATATACAGTAGCAGTTTAGAGATATTTACTCTGCCTTGGTAATAGTCTAATATCAGTGGGGCGGCTGCGGCTGTAAAGTGCCAAACTGCTGCTGTGTCCTTAGGCAAGACACTTCACCTACATTAAAATGAGTCTGGTGTGTGTGTGAATGGTTGGTGGTTGTGGGAGGGGCCGATGGCACAGACTGGTTGCCTCGCTTCTGTCAGTGTGTCCCAGGGCAGCTGTGGCTACATTAGTAGTTTATCACCGCTGTGTTTGGAGTAAATGAAGAATGACATGTGAAGCGTCTTTGAGTGTTCCAAAAAGCGCTTTATAAAACCAATGCATTATTATTATTATTATTGTTATTATTATCACCTGTTTGGTCAAAATCAGGTGAAATGAAAATAACGTGAGATGATTAGAAGGATTCTGTTTGTGCTTGTTTGATTTGTTATCTGGGTTTGTTCACATTAAAGGGGACAAAAGTCTGACAAAATGCAAAACATGTGATTTTAATAATCAGAATATATTGTATGTTTTTTCATGTTTCCAAACACTTCCTCAGTCCTTTAGAAGTTACTGTTTTATAAATTAGTCAAGTTTCCTAAAGCAGCTGTTTATTTGACAGACTGAACTGTGCAGAAGTTTGTTAAGTATTTTCAGATCCACATTTGATTCAGAGATTCTGTTTTTAGTAGAAACAAAATTACACTCATAATGAACCAGTGAAACGTTGAACCAGACCATGTGGTTTCTTTAAGTGCAGTGATTCCTGATGTTGTTGATGTTAATCTGTGAAAGTTCATCTGCTGCTGTTTCAGACTCAGGACATTTCATTTTCTGTGTCTCTGAGTCACAGTAGAAATATCTGATCGTTTAAAATGTCACCAAAATATATTTGTCAATCTTTCCAAGCAACAAGCAGACTTTTGTTTTGTTTTGTTTGTGTGGAAAGATGTGTTTTTGCTGCTGCTGGAAACATGAATATCTCCTATGAGGATAATGAAAATAATATGGTTTTGGGGAACATTTTTATCATTTCCATTTCTTGTGTTTTTAACTGTTGGATTATCTCATCTGTGTCTGCAACTCAGCACAAACACCACATGAATTGGGAAAGAGAGAGAGCGGGAAAAAAACAGGAAATATTGTAAGTTTGCCTTGAGTGTGTTTTGTTCTCGGCACGATCAGAGAGAGCCAGCTCGGGGTTTGCTCACGGAAAAGCCCTGTATTGGATTGGAATGCCTTTTCATAATAATAATAATAATAATAATAGTGATTTAGAGCTACACAAAGTGAAATTGAATTGGTCTTTATGATATTCTGATACAAACGAAAGTGCAAACATCAGAATCCTCTCGTGGCTGTTTTCTGAGTTGGTTCCAAATCTTAGACGTCGTAAAATGAGGCGAGCTTCATGTTGTTGAGTCTCAGGTTCTTCTGAACGACTCCTTATTGAAATGGATTACATGTCTCCTCACAGCAGCAGTAGAACGCTCCATTGATTTGAATGTCATTTCAAAACGTTCTACCGGTCATTATTTTTTATAATGGATCTCTCAAAACAATAATGACCGCTGCCCTTTGGCAACGCACTCTCTGCTTGTCTTTCAGATGCGTGGATAACTCCGCAAGTAGTTCCGGCCACTCCGGAGCTAGCCACGCTCAATAAACACAAATACCAATCAATCAACACAATGAAATGTTAATCGGAGAATACTTATACATATACATTCAGTGCACGGAAGTTTTCAGAATTTTCCGTTTACGTTTTCATGACAAAAACACTGATGTAATGCGAGAAAAGGCGATCCTAAAAAACCCAGAAGTAGATACCGGCACATTTTAGGACACATTTGCAGAGGATCGGAATTATGGATTTAGGTTAGGTTTATGTTTGGGTCACTCACCGCTGATGTTCAGGATTCTTTGTTCAGTTTTCATGCAGTTCCAGAGAGTTCTAGTTTGGAAGTTGATAGCCTAACTGTTGCTAGCATAGCCACGGGAAAGCCTTTGGGAACCCTTAAATAAACCTCTCGGCATTCCTAAAAGTGGACTGAAGTTTATGTTGTGTGTTCTGTCGGTAAAAAGCCGAGTGATAAGTGGGATAATGTATAGTAGCAGGTCATTATCGGAAAATAAGTACCAACAGGGCGAAGCGGACCCCGACGCGCAGCGGATGACCTGACCTAATGACCTGCGTACTATACGTTATCCCTTACATATCGACGCAGACACGGATCATCCGACACCGGCCTCTGATGTGAAGTTTGGAAATCAATATTCAATAGTTTGTCTTTAGATTTTACACATTTGTAAATATCCCATAAAAAGAGTTATGTAATGTTTTAATCACAGATAGATTCACTGTGTCTAAAAAACTCGATGAAATCTTTGTGTCCATATCTGCAGGTGAGAGGAAGATCCAGTCAGACCTCTGAAGCAAAGCAGGGCAGGGCGTGGTTAGTACTGTGATGGGAGACCTCTGGGAACACACCTGTAAAGTGCCAAACTGTGGCTGTGTCCTTAGGCAAGACACTCCCCCACATTAGAATGAGTCTGGTGTGTGTGTGAATGGTTGGTGGTGGTGGGAGGGGCTGATGGTACAGACTGGTTGCCTCGCTTCTGTCAGAGTGCCCCAGGGCAGCTGTGGCTACAGTAGTAGTTTATCACCACAGTGTTTGGAGTGAACTTTATAAAACCAATGCATTATCAATCGACTTTATAGAACACACACTGTACGTGACGAGTGAGGACATCAATTTGATGATATTGGTTCAGTCAATCTGGAGCAGGCTTTTATTATGATCTAAGGGTGTATTCAGACCTGCACATTTGCTCCACTTTAAACGGACCAGGATTCGTTTGGAACTCTGATCCGAATCTTTTATGCAGGTCTGAATACACACAAACGAATCCTGGTCCGGACCAAAGAACCGAACCGAGACCCACTTTTTGAGGTGGTCTCGGTCCGCTTCCAAACGAATTCTGGTCCAAGTCGAATCAGGTCTGAATACATCCGGTGTCGATCCGACACAACTCCAAGATACGTGCGCATTTTTTGGGCTTAAGCCGCAGACAGAAACTGTGAGGAATTAGCCATGCAGCGGCTAACTACGCTGCTAACTATGCTGCTAACTATGCTGCTAACTATGCTGCTAACTATGCTGCTAACGCTACACAACAACACTGAGCCGTGTGCAGACCTGGAGCAGTGAGGAGACGCTGTGCAACAGGCTTATGGAGTTACAACTGTTCACAGTATACAGTGATGGTAATGGCAGCATCTTCAAACCATTTACATTATTAAAAGCCTGACGTGTTTGACTCACGTCTCAAAGAGCAATATTCCGCATCATGTAGTGAATTGTGTTCTTTGGTTCCTACCTGATCCTCAGCGTCTGTTTGTCCCGTGGTTATTATAGATCCATGGTTTATCCACAATGCTGAACAGGGCCGTTATTATCATAGATCCATGTGTGTGACAGGACAGGACACGGAGCGCACAGACAGAGTCTCCTTCGGCTTTCTCCTCACGCATTCTCCGCCGCTGTTCCAATATTTAAAACAACGTGTTTCGCCTGCGTCATATGAGCTGCTGTTGATGTTGAAGGTGGTTTTGCTCTAAAAAGAGCAAACATAGGCAGAGCAGACATGCTGCACATACGAGCCCTCAATGTTTTCTGCCGGTTCCGCGTCTATCCTCCGTGAGCTCTTGCTGTCCAATAGGAGCGCCGATTGTCACACGTGTCGATATGTTTATATAAAAAAGTTCACTTGCAAAAAAGACTGAATACAAACCGGAGCAAAAGAAAAAAGTTTGGTCCGCTTTTGATTCGGATCAAGCAAGCGGAGCAAAGAACTTTTCAGGTCTGAATACACCCTAATACGTCTTTAATAAGTCTTTTTTAGAACACTCAATGGGCCTCATTCACGAATAACTTCGTAAGAAACTACTCAACTTTCTTCTCAAGTTGTCCTTAAGTAGATTTCTAAGAAGTCCCCACGTGGGATTCATCAACGCACTCGTAAGCCGCTGAATTGTTCGCAGCTGTTCTCTCAGATTGATGAATCCCATTTCCTCGAAAGTAGAGCGCGCGTGCCCGGTGCTTCATTACCATAGGTACTTAGCATAAGTAACCGCCCACTAATGCCCATATAAGGGACTGCAGGGCCGTGTGCAGACGCCAGAGGAAACAGCAACAGGCCTAAAGCAGGCTTTTGCCAGACTGAGAATAAAGTTATAAAATGTTGACTTAAAAGTCGAAATATTATGATTATAAAGTCGAACTAGCAAAATTATGAGATTAATCTAAGAATATGATGAGATTAATCTCAAAATGTTATGAGCTTAATTTAAAAATATATTATGTATTATTTTAAAGATGAATCTCAAAATGTTTTGAGATTAATCTCAAAATATTTTGGACCCTGGGAGGAGATCCCAGCGCGGACCAGCGCTGAGACCAATGCAGACCCGAGGAGAGACTGGAGTGACCAGCACACAGAAACCAGCGCGGACAGGAGAGACCGCATAGACTGGAGTGACCTGACTGGAGAGACCGGTGCGCAGAGACCAGCGCGGACCGAAGAGAGACCGCATAGACCAGACTTGAGAGACCAGCGCGGACCCGTATGGATCCATGGGAGAGACCAGCGCAGACCCGTATAGATCCATGGGAGACACCAGCGCAGACCCGTATAGATCCATAGGAGAGACCAGCGCAGAGACTCAGCGCGGACCCAGTAACCTCCTGCAGCAGCAGTATATATGCCGTTGTTCTGTGGCCCGTGGATAAAGAAATGCCCCCTATAAATAGGAAGGGGTCACTAATACACGGCAAGATTTCCAATGTATTTGATAAAGCGTTGGCACATTTCATTTCAAAATGAATTAAAAAGTAGGCCAGATCTGCAGTGAAAAAGGCGGTATATAAATAAAGATTACTAATAAAGATTACTACAAATAAATAAATACATACATCGATATGACGGACATATCACTGGAATGTTGTATTTTTATTAAACTTCACCAAAGAGGACAACCCCGGCTGTGAACATGTCGGCACTGAATGCGTACGAGTGCTCCTGAGGACTCGTAGGATTTGTACTTGCCCAAGTGAAATTCTGGTTACGAGAAATATTCGTGAATGCCACTTTCTTCGTAAAAACCGCGTAAGTAGGATTTACGTACAAATCTGTTCCTAAGAACCGTTCGTGAATGAGGCCCATTATTCTTTAACCCCAAACACAGAGTTAATAAACTACTACTGTAGCCACAGCTGCCCTGGGGCACACTGACAGAAGCGAGGCAACCAGTCTGTGCCATCAGCCCCAACCACCACCACCAACCATTCACACACACACCAGACTCATTCTAATGTTAGTTAAGTGTTTTGCCACAGCCACAGTTTGACACTTTACAGCCGCCCCACTGTGGCACCTGGTGTTCCCAGAGGTCTCCCATCACAGCACTAACCAGGCCCTACCCTGCTTAGTTTCAGAGGATCTGTCTTTTACCTGCAGGTTTGTCCACATGATAGTCCAGAATTTGACATACAGTAAATGTAACTTTAACTCAAAAGTTGGTTTCAAACCCATTTGTCATAAGTTTTCTGTGTGTTCTCTTCACTCTCTTCACTGGTGTCGAGGATGTTGAAGCTAAAGTATCGAGATCTGTAAATGACTCGAAAAAACTAGAGTGGTGGATCCCGAAAGCAAACTTTAAACGTTAATGAAGTTATTACCAAACCGTCAGAAAATAAGTACTTTGAGAATAACCAAAGAAATGTGATACATACATTAAAAACACATTGTCTTATGATCATTGTTTGTGTTTTATATCTAATAATAACATCGTAATTCAAACTGTAATTATCACAAATATCATATAACTTAAAATATCTATAATCTATAATGTCACCACGGCCCTGACCCGGTCCGGGGTTAAAGGGGCGGAGAGAGATTAGTGCAAAGTCCAATTCAAACAGAGAAATAAAAACACACATGAGGCAGCCCAGTCCGGTCCTGAACAGTCTGGTCCTGAACAGTCTGGTCCTGAACAGTCTGGTCCTGAACAGTCTGGTCCTGAACAGTCTGGTCCTACACAGTCCGGTCCTGAACAGTCTGGTCTTGAACAGTCTGGTCCTACACAGTCTGGTCCTAAAGAGTCTGGTCCTAAACGGTCTGGTCCTAAACAGTCTGGTCCTGAACAGTCCGGTCCTACACAGTCCGGTCTTAAAGTCCGGTCCTAAACAGTCTGGTCCTCAACAGTCTGGTCCTCAACAGTCTGGTCCTAAACAGTCCGGTCCTAAACAGTCCGGTCCTAAACGGTCCAGGTCCGGTCCTACACAGTCCGGTCTTAAAGTCCGGTCTTAAACACAGACTCTGGACCGCTCTCCTCAGATGTTTTCCTCATGTAACCACGTAAACCCATCGTTACAAGACAAGAAAAGCAAATGCATTCGACTGCACAGGACAGGACTGTGCTAAAACTCAATATGTACGTATTTGGACCCGGTAGAAAGAACATGCAAAAACGAGATCCCACTGATTCATGTGAGGCTAAAAATAGCTAAAAATAGAAAATCAACAATTGAAACACAGAACAACTGTTTCAAAGACACTTAGGACCTGCTTCTGTTTCCAGCGCATTCAAAACGGGTCCCGGCTAAAAAATGTCCAAAATGACAAGCCCTGACATGCTGCAATACCATCCCGGGCCTGTGGGGGTGGACCCGGAATAAGAATTAGCCAATACTAATGTATAGCACCTTCTGAACTCTCGAAAATGGTTCTACATGCTGTCAATGCTGAGGGGTGTGTATTTTGGGCCAGTCTAGTTTAGTCGCTGTGGACTTCAGAAGGCACTCGTTAAATGAATGAGGCTCAATCAGCTAACGCATGCGCAGATGCATTTTTTTTTGCACAGTCCATGGTACAGACTCAGTGAAGTGGTCTAACATCTGCTTTCCTGTCCGCAGCTGGACGAGGTGCCGGTCACCATCGGTCGCCTCCAAAACCTGCTCATTCTTAACCTGTGCAACAACCGGCTGACCTTCCTGCCGGAGGAGATTGGCCTCCTCAAAAAACTCCTCACTCTGTATCTGAGCATGAACCAACTGAGCTCTCTACCGGCCTCTATTGGCAACCTGAAGGAACTGCGGCACCTGGGCCTCTCTGACAACCGCTTCACCCAACCCCCCCGCTGCCTGGCGCGCCTGGACAAGCTGCAGAGGGTCAACCTGGACCGCAACCCGCTCAGGCTAACGCAGACGCAGGAGCCGCTTCCAGAGGGCATCATACCCGTGACCTCCAAGTATCTGATGGTGACGGAGAGCGAGCTGTGCCAGGACTGTCTGAGCAAGTGCCAGGACCAGAGGAGGAGGCTGAAGGAGGCGGAGGAGCAGAGAGACACAGCCACAGAGGAGACGGGAGAGACGGCCACAGACAGAGACGACCACAGAGAGAGCAAAATAAACAAGGAGTCGTGAGAAATATGGACTTTTTATATTTGAGTTGCCTGAAGGTTATGTTTGTAAATATAGCAATACAAAAATCAGAGTCTGTTTTTTTTTTGCCATATGCTGTAAAATCACATTGGAATTCATGTGTAGGAGTCCCCAGTGTGCACCAGACAGATATATAACATAAAACAAGCTAAAATGCCACTGTCAAACCAACCGGCAAAAACAGTTTCAATACAAGTGCAAGATCTATACATACTGTAATTCCAATAACTTCACTTGAAATTATCAATTGAATGGTCTGCTGCTGTGACCCGTCCTGCTACACCCAGAGGCTACTCCACCTCTGCTGCTGTGACCCGTCCTGCTCCACCCAGAGGCTACTCCACCTCTGCTGCTGTGACCCGTCCTGCTCCACCCAGAGGCTACTCCACCTCTGCTGCTGTGACCCGTCCTGCTCCACCCAGAGGCTACTCCGCCTCTGCTACTGTGACCTGAAGGGCTATTATTATCATTGTTAGCTTTTTAGAATGATCAATTTTATTTTTTGTTTTTGCTGCTACTGGACACCTGACTTTCTCCTACAGTGATCAATAAAGTATATATCTGTCTAACATTAGCATATGCAGATGACGTCACAGTAATAATCCAAACACAGTCTGGATCGGAAAGGCGAGCAGACGAGTTCCTTTAGACATCACAACAAGAGAAGGAATCAAAGTGTTAGGGATTATTATACGTAACAATGTCCTGGAAAGAAACTGGGAAAATAAAATGATCTGATCAGTTGTTTTCAACAACAAGCGAGACCTGTTGTTCAAAGATAAAGCCTTTGGTGGCCACAGGGCAACACACTTAGATGTAAAACTTACTTTAGCATTTAAAAAAGTGTCTTTGGCCATTATCCGTGTTGCTCCGTAGGTCGGGAAGTAAACATGTGGAAGAAGAGCGTGGGCTGAACTCAAAAAATGCCCTTTTAACAAACTAGACTTTGGAGACTTTATTCTGAATAATCCTTTAGATTATCAAGGACTCTCATCAAAAATGTTATATGTTAAAATGTGTGATAATCTGTGTGGTGAGACTGTTGTGTTTAAAGAATGTAACATGAATGAATCTCAATCTATTGTAAAACTGTTAAACGAACATCAGGAGCAGACCATCAGGGACTCACGGGGGCTCAGGTCCGTAAACAAACTCCTGGTTGAGCCATGGTGTTGTGGAGCTGATACGTCACAACAAAGTCATTTCAGTCATCAATCCATCACATACAGACTCTTTCAAGAAACTTCACCCTCACAGCGGGAGAAACACGAACAACATCCCTAACTTTCATTGACAGCACAACAATATACAAACAAATCATCACACAACTCAAACAGACACGAAACACTTCATCTCTCCTCTGATTGGAACATTCTACACTTGTTACAAGCTTTGTGTGAAAAACTAGTCACATTTCAACAACATAATCTCTTTAATACATTTTGTGAATGCTGGTTCGATTACAGTTATCTTGACATAAGCACACACAGATAATTTACAGACTACATCCAGCCCGGGTCCCGCTAGATGTAATAGCAGAATGACAATGATCAAGCAACACAGCTTGCTTAAGCATCAGACGCCTCATGGGTCGGTCACAAGGCATTCTTTTACAAACCATAGATTCACAGACATGGTATTGCAGAATTTGCAGTCCCATGCCATCCCACGACAAGCCTCTGTCTAAGATGCTATTGTCCTCCCAGAGTCACATGAAATCTGCTGAGCTGAGGGAAGTGGTCCGCAGTCTTTAGCAATTGAATGCTGCTGACACATTCTACACACAAGTTGGTTAACTATCATCATGTCTAGACTTACACACATTTATTAATATGCTAATAAAACATAACATTTCTTAACACTTTGGTTCAGCTATTCTCGCGAGACAGAATCCGAGAAAATATTTAGACTGAGGTATAAACTTTTCAAACCGACACAAACTGGGCCTTTGTACATCCATCGGTGGATAGTGGAGTGGTTTAACCAGATTCTTTAAAAGAATGCTCTGGAAGTTGTAGGACCACTCAGGGAAAGATTTGGATTGATATCTTCCTGCCCTTTTGTTCACATATGGAAAGGACACACTCACTTGCCTTCTCACCATTTTTACTTCTGTATGGGGGATGTACAAGGACCACTGGATCTACTGGAATCAAAAAGGACTACACTTGATGCCAAAAAGAGTGGGCAAACTTTGCACAATTTTTGCTGTGGATGAGGGACCAACAGGACCAGTATCGAGAGGAGGCCGCAGAGAACCAATGAGAAGCACAGAGGAAACAGAAGCAATGGTGCGACAAGCTGGCCAGGGACAGGACTTCTGAATCTGGACAAAAGTGCTGCTTCTACTCCCCTCATCAAACAGCAAGCTTCTGGCCCATCTGTCATCACTAGGCATATGCGACCTGTCACCTCCCAAATACATCACCCAGAGAAGAAAAAGGCCAACCAAACATCCATCCATTTTCTACCCTTTAATCCATTTCTGGGTCAGGGGGGTGGCAATCAGAGATGCCACCCAAGTCTCATAGCACCAGCCCCTCACTGACCCTCTGCAGGTGAGTCCACAGGAGGGCGGCTGCTCTGAGTGTGAGCATAGCCTTGATCTTTCAGTGGGGGCTTTTGGGCAAAGTGGGGTTAAGTGTCTTGCCCAAGGACACAACGACAGCAGTCATCAGTGGGAGTCGGTGGAGAAGGGGTAGAGGTGGGAATTGAACCCACGACCTTCAGGCCTGAAGGCCAATGCTCTACCAACTGAGCTACTGTCGCCCAAACATACCACATACAAACTGAGAATAGATAATGCTCATATGGACTTTATTTAATGGTTAGGGCGAGATGTAAGCATCAGCAGCCATTTAAAACTTTACATGTAAGATAATCCCTGTGTGACTACCTAAACAAACTTTATTTGTTTAGGTAGTCAAGCTGTATTAATACTTTTGCAATGCAATGTATAGATCAATTTAACAATGTTCCATTCAAGGACACACTTCCATATAAGCACTAAGTTTTAGCTTTTAGATATTAATTTACCAAAGTCCACAAATGTATTCAGTGAGGTGGTGCTGTTTTCTCTGAGGGCTTTGTCCATCCACATGTTTAGTTTAGGACTAGATTTTTGGGGACCCGCCCTTAATACTTTGAGGACACACCTGTAGAGCACAGTATAAAGACACTGGTCTGGACACAGTCAGACAGTCCAACTCCTGGTGCTCTGAACCACAATGAAGCTCAACATGACTCTGTACAGAGCCTCTGTGCTCCTGCTGCTGCTGGTGGCCTCTCAGAGCCAGGCTCTGCCTGTCCCAGACACTGAAGACCTGCTCCCACAGGAGGAGAACGCTGAAGACCTGCTCCCACAGGAGGAGAACACTGAAGACCTGCTCCCACAGGAGGAGAACACTGAAGACCTGCTCCCACAGGAGGAGAACACTGAAGGCAATGACATTAAAAACGACACTGAGGACATCGGAGAGAAGATCTTGGCGTCCAACAACCACTCAGCCGCATTCCTTGAGGAAGGAGACCTGTTGCCTTCTAAAAAAAGGAACGCCATCAGGTGTAGGTACAACAGCTGCCGCTGGCCCAAAGGCTCTGATGGCCTGGTCTCAATCCCCTACACTGTGAGCCGTGACTTCAATTCTTATGAGAATCAAATGATCGAAGGCGCTCTGGGAGGCTTTGCATCCAAAACTTGCATCCGCTTTTTCCCTCGTCGCAGCGAGATAGACTTCATCAGCGTTGAGAACCGAGCAGGCTGTTTCTCTTCTCTGGGGAAACAGGGCGGGCGCCAGGTGCTGTCACTCAATAGAAATGGTTGTGTTTACACCGCCATTATCCAGCATGAGTTCAACCACGCTCTGGGCTTCACGCACGAGCAGACCAGGAGCGACCGCGACCAATACGTCCGCATCAACTGGAACAATATTCAATCTAACATGGCCTACAACTTTGATAAATCTGACACCAACAACTTGAACACGCCTTACGACTACAGCTCTCTGATGCAATACTCAAGTAAAGCCTTCAGCAAGAACGGCCACGACACCATCTCTCCCCTCTCTCCTCACCCAGTCCAGCTGGGACAGAACCGAGGTCTGTCCGACTCCGACATCAAGAGGATCAACATTCTCTACGAATGCTAACTACTGACAGTGATTCATGTAATCATAACTATGTTACCATTCAACAAAGTTGAGTCACTGTTTTGTTGAATTGATTAAAATCTATTTAAGCATGAACTATTTTAAATGTGTCATTAATATACAAATATACAAACTAGGGCTGTAACAAGTTAATTCATTAATCACAACTACTTGATTATTTGAATAGTTATAACTAAGTTATTTATTGATCTTTTTTATTTAGAAAGATTAGAACAGGCTGAGAAGAGGTTTTATGAATCAAATAATTTTTTATTGATATAAAATAGGGCCTAACGTGGACACTACAATATCCAGTGTTTACATTGTGCAAGGTCTATCTATAGATCATACATTGTTACTTTTATATCATGGTGTTATACTAAACAAATGATTAAAGGTTCTTTGGATTGGATCAATAGTGGACCACAGGAAGAGTCAAGTAGGCTCGTTTAAAGATTTATGATTGAATCAATACTTTTTAAATAGACCAAAATACATGATAAGGTTTTTTCCAGATAAATCAAGGTTTAAAACGAGAACTGGCCAAGGTACAATAACATTTTGTTAAATAAAAGACACCTCTCCATCCTCTTCCCCCACTTTCCCCTTCCCCTCTTATCTTTAACTATAAGCAGGGGTGCATATAAGTGGTACGCAGGTACGCATGTGCGACAAATATCAGAAATGTGTACTATCTCCTCCCTAGAGGGGCTTGGTGCAATGCCAGAGAGGGTGTGCATGACCGCGGGGCACTTGCTGCTGTTTGCTGTACGTACTCGAACGGGACTCCAAATCCTCCGTGGCAGCAGCGACTCCAGAGCCACTCCGGCCGCTTTGTAATGACAGCGGCTCCTCGACAGCAACGCGGCGAGCACGTAGCCGAACGTGATCATAATGTACCCAGCCAGAGCATTCTCTGCATGTTGCAAGTGGGTGTCTTTGTGTAACGCAAAATAAATAAATACATATTGTGGTACTGCAAGAAACAGAGCTGGACTGTGGAGCCTTAAGGGAGTGTCCATGTCCTCCCCGTGTCTCTAAATTAAAGCTGTGGTACCTTCATTTTCCCTTGCATTAATAATGCATAATAATGTTGGTTGTGCCCAAAAGTAAAATGTTGTGAACAAATCAAACTGAACATTGTTATGATTTTTGTTTTGTTTAGCATTTTTAAGAAAGAGCCCTGTGAGTGGATTATCTGAGCGGATCTAAACTTCAGCATTAAAAAAAGCGAATATAAAATATTGATTAAGAACCACGCGACAAACTAAGTGAGTACCAAACACCATCTCCTGGTACTCATCTGAGAACCTCACTGAAAAAGTTTAGTGCCCTCCTGACTATTAGGTAGCATAGGGTGTCTGCGTTGCCGCCACTGACAGCCTTAAAATTCCTATATAGAAATATAGGAGTAATAATGGACTCAGAATTCAAAATATCTACCACATCAAAACTGTAAAATCAGCATCTTTTTATCAACCAAAACATATAGTGTCTAAAACAGACTTGGAGACTCTTATCCTGCATTTGTCTCCGATATGTTAAACTACCGTACGGCCGACCCAATGGGCTCTCAGAAACAAGCTCTAAATACTTGCAGTATATTCAAAACACTGCAGCTCAAGAAAGGACGATCACATTCGATCTGTCTACCAACAGCTTACTAGATTTCTTATAATCAACAACTCATTTGATATGTTTCAGTCCGGCTTTAGACCCCATCACAGCACTGAGGCTGCTCTCGTCAAGGTTAAAAACGATATTCGGCTGAACACTGACGCAGGCAAAGTCTCAATCCTAATCCTGTTAGATCTGAGTGCTGCCTTTGACACTGTCGACCATGAGATCCTCTTACAGAGACTAGAGGACTGGGTTGGCGTCGCTGGCACCGCCCTAAGTTGGTTTAGGTCTTACCTTGAAGACAGGAAGTACTTTGTGGAGATTGGAAACTGTGTCTCAGATCATATGGCCCTGACCTGTGGAGTCCCACAGGGGTCAATCCTGGGACCTCTTCTGTTCCATCTGTACATGCTGCCGTTAGGTCAGTTAGTATGCAGAGACGAAGTGTCCTATCACAACTATGTATAATAATAATGAGGTGTAGAGTGTTCAAAGACTAGTATATCTATCTATGACTTAACAGTGCTTTAAACTTCTCCACACTTCATTCCTGACATCTCTGGTGGGTTGTCTACACTTCATGATGTTGATTAGAGACAAATACGCTCTAAATGTAGCTCTGAGTTCATCACAAAATATCTGTGATTATACTCTATTTAATCACATAGATTATACTCTATTTAATCACAGTGGGTTCTATTTAATTAAATAAATCAAGGCTAATTGTGAACATTCAGCATTCATTAGAACATTTTCAAAGGATTTTTAATGCACAGGGAGAAATGCTGTATAGGATACTTCTGTTAACCCCACTTTTTAGTTTTTGATTATGAAAACAAAGGTAAGGTTTTTAGTCATTCATTCATTCATTCAATCCATCCTTGTATAGTCAAAACAATGTGAAGCTGTATTAGTACTTTTGCAATGTACTGTTTTGCATTCAGAGCATTCGCTTTTTGACATTAATTTACCAAAGTCCACAAATGTATTCAGTGAGGTGGTGCTGTTTGCTCTGAGGGCTTTGTCCAACTGTGAGATTTCATAACACTTTTAAGCAACTTTTGTTAAAGTTAAACTCATCATTCTATCAATGTGCAGAAGCCAGTACTTTTCCCTTGTTTTGTCTATCTGAAGGCCAAGCTCCATGGCACTGTGGCAGCAGCTGATTGGAGGTCTCCATGCCTCCGCTCTGTATAATACACTTGCATTCTGTTGTTCGTGTTGTTCGTGCTGTCTCTACCATTGACAATAAAACATGTCTTCTGTCTGAATTTCAGACACGATCCCAGACTTTGTCATCTTCTTCAGGTGGTGGAAGGATGCGGGCCTTGTCTGTAACATCTAGAGAACAGAAGACTTTTTTTTTTTACACAAAAATGTGTTTTTTTTTAAGCCAAAACTGAGAAACCTCAAGAGAAACCATGCGTCTCGATCAGCACTTGGACAATCTGCACAGCCCCTGATTCCAGTCAGGCTGTGAGCTGCTGAGACATGGACAATACCATCGTCCTCTTTTGCATGGACACCATTTGGAACAATTGGATTTCTGAATTTGGACATAATCTGGACGGAATTGAATTGCTGAATCTGCACACTAAAGCTGAAACGTGTGATTGAAAGACACGTCACAGAATTCATGGCTCGACACAACAAATACAGCCTGAAGAAACCAACACGGAGAAGTGGGAGAGACTGTTTTCAAAGCAATATCTGGAACCATCGACTGATGAAGTTTGGTATTTTACTGAAGATTGTTGACAAGTTTTATGAAAGATCTGAACATGTTTTATGAGTTTTTAAGTATTCCGAGTTCTGAGTTTTTTGAAGTACCGAGTTTATGAGTTTTTGAAGTATTGAGTTATGATGTTATGTTGCTGTTTATCGATCCTGATGGTCACACGGGAATGTGTGACCAGAGGGGGGAATTTCATAACACTTTTCAGCAACTTTTGTTAAAGTTAAACTCATCATTCTATCAATGTGCAGAAGCCAGTACTTTTCCCTTGTTTTGTCTATCTGAAGGCCAAGCTACATGGCACTGTGGCAGCTGCTGATTGGAGGTCTCCATGTCTCCGCTCTGTATAATACACTTGCATTCTGTTGTTCGTGTTGTTCGTGCTGTCTCTACCATCGACAATAAAACATGTCTTCTGTCGGAATAAAAGACGCGATCCCAGACATGTCATCTTCTTCACAACCACATATTTAGTTTAGGACTAGAGGACCAGCCCTTAATACTCTGAGGACACACCTGTAGAGCACAGTATAAAGACACTGGTCTGGACACAGTCAGACAGTCCAACTCCTGGTGCTCTGAACCACAATGAAGCTCAACATGACTCTGTAGAGAGCCTCTGTGCTCCTGCTGCTGCTGGTGGCCTCTCAGAGCCAGGCTCTGCCTGTCCCAGACACTGAAGACCTGCTCCCACAGGAGGAGAACGCTGAAGGCAATGACATTAAAAACGACACTGAGGACATCGGAGAGAAGATCTAGGCGTCCAACAACCACTCAGCCGCATTCCTTGAGGAAGGAGACCTGTTGCCTTCTAAAAAAAGGAACGCCATCAGGTGTAGGTACAACAGCTGCCGCTGGCCCAAAGGCCGTGATGGGCTGGTCTCAATCCCCTACACTGTGAGCCGTGACTTCAATTCTTATGAGAATCGAATGATCGAAGGCGCTCTGGGAGGCTTTGCATTCAAAACTTGCATCCGCTTTTTCCCCCGTCGCAGCAAGAGAGACTTCATCAGCGTTGAGAACCGAGCAGGCTGTTTCTCTTCTCTGGGGAAACAGGGCGGGCGCCAGGTGCTGTCACTCAATAGAAATGGTTGTGTTTACACCGCCATTATCCAGCATGAGTTCAACCACGCTCTGGGCTTCACGCACGAGCAGACCAGGAGCGACCGCGACCAATACGTCCGCATCAACTGGAACAATATTCAATCTAACATGGCCTACAACTTTGATAAATCTGACACCAACAACTTGAACACGCCTTACGACTACAGCTCTCTGATGCACTACTCAAGTAAAGCCTTCAGCAAGAACGGCCACGACACCATCTCTCCCCTCTCTCCTCACCCAGTCCAGCTGGGACAGAACCGAGGTCTGTCCGACTCCGACATCAAGAGGATCAACATTCTCTGCAAATGTAACACTGAACCTGAACCTGTAAAGTGCAGCTCCAAAGTTTAATTCCAATGGCTGTGTGTCAATTAGAATACTTATCTTAAATTCAAGGTTTAGGTTTACTCCAGACGGGGTTTGTGTAAGCCCTCAGTCGTACAGGGATTAGTCAAAGCAAAGGAAGGTTTCTCACTCATCATCTGTACTTCTTAGCAAGTTTTCCCGACCTTTCGTCCTCAAACTAGCGGACTTCTTCAGGGAATGAATTCTCGGACCGCGCGTTGGAGATTTATAACCTATGGGTGTGGTTAGCCACACCCTAATCCTGATACTAACTCATAAACAATCTAAGGTCTGCTTGATGTAGAAGGGAGCAGATCTAACGACCCTGCTGAGGCTAACGACCCTAACTCCTTAGCATGTCACAGACCTATTGTCTGCTGGGATGCTCAAGTTTACCAACATTGTAGAGAAAACTCTAGTGGGCCACAGTCGGCTGTTCATCTCCACCTCAAGGCCTCCAACCACACGGTGGATGACACAGAGGTTAAAATTCTGGCTCGGGAGAAGAATTAGTTTGAGAGAGGGGTGAAAGAAGCCATTTTTGTGAGGAAACAAACCTTCTCTTAACAGAGGAGGAGGGTTAAGATTTGTTTTGCCTCGCATCTATGACGACATCCTAAAAACAACGCCCTAACTTGGGACAAGGTCAGTGACATGCTAATGAGTTAGGAGGGGTGAGACCTACACTCCACTTGAGCATCCCAGCAGACAATAGGTCTGTGACATGCTAATGAGTTAGGGTCGTTAGCCTCAGCAGGGTCGTTAGACCTGCTCCCTTCTACATCAAGCAGACCTTAGATTGTTTATGAGTTATAGTATCAGGATTAGGGTGTGGCTAACCACACCCATAGGTTATAAATCTCCAACGCGCAGTCCGAGAATTCATTCCCTGAAGAAGTCCGCTAGTTTGAGGACGAAACGTCTGGAAAACTTGCTAAGAAGTACAGATGATGGGTGAGAAACCTTCCTTTGCTCCAGACGGGGTTGTTTTTATTAATGAGAACCAATTGTAACAGGAAATATGAGAACGACTTTACAGTGTACTAACTATTGACAGCAATGTGTGATCATAACTGTGTCAGCCTCTCTCTCTGTGTCTGTATATTCAATACAACAAAGTTCATTTATTGTTTTGTTGTGTTTAATAAACTCTATTTAAGCATGGAAAATAAGCATTGCCTTCTAAATACATACAATACAAATGTCTTCTAGCTTTTCTAGAATGTCTGTCTGCATCTCTCTACACTTCCCCACAGAGACACCAGAGGGCGCATCTCCTCCAGTGCTGACAGAATATCAAAGGGCACTATTCCTCCTCTCTGGCACTTTTTGAAGGAGCAAGTTTTTCTGTCAATGTCTGAAAGTCATACGACAAAACAAAGGCCAGGCAAGTTTATTTGTATAGCACAGTTCATACACAAAGCAACTCAAAGTGCTTACTGGAAAGACACAAAAAATCACACAAGGCATTCAAATAAATAAATTAAAATGTATCCGCAGTTATTTGCACAGTTAAACAAAACTAGTTTTTTCCTGGATTTGAACATTGTCAGTGACGAAGTCTGTCTTACATTTGCCCCCACACACGATTTGGGTGTATTTTTGTGCTATCAAAAGGTTAAGTAACCCTATACTATACCTATACGCTAAAGGGTTATGTAGTAACTCTAAGGCACACATAATTATATGGAGCACCATCAAATTATGCCTTTATTTTCTCATATAAGGCGTACTGGATTATAATTGCACCTTGCATCTGTGGAGGAGAACGCTGAGCTGAGTGCATGGGGAGGCGTGATGTGGATTTGTTTTATTTTATTTTGTGCAAAGCAAGTCATCCAGTGGTCCTTTGTGTGTCGTGGGCCTTCTTCAGACAGCGCAAAACATAGAACACAACGCAGATTACACTAATAAAGGGGGTAACCGTTAACGGGTGTGCACCAGGTCAGTAATTGAACAATAAAACATGTTACATCTGTGTCCACACCCGTAACAAGTTCTCACCCTGTCTTACAAGGACAGTTTGGGGTAAGGAAGTACCCCAAGTCTTTGTGGACTTACACTCAGGCATCATAAGGCTTTGACTTAATCCCCACTCTCTGACTGTGGAGCACATTTTAACTCAAAATACATCATGACATATTCAACTTTGACAGCGGTAGTTATTCCTGACATGATTCTGACAAAGCATTGCCCCCGTCGGTGCGCGCAAGCCCCGTAGAACGTTTCTGGACAGTTTAAATGGACGGACTTGCGCTTATGGGTTTTTCAACAAACAAACATGAATGAAAATTGTTTGTTAATGTGATTCCAATTAGTTAAGTACCTGCAGTTAGACCTGCAACTTTGTATGGGAAGATCAGCTGCATGTGTCTCATATTTGCACTCCATTCATTCATGCCCCACTGTAGCACCCGGTGTTCCCAGAGGTCTCCCATCACAGTACTAACCAGGCCATGTCCTGCTTAGCTTCAGAGGTCTGACAAGATCTAGCTTTCACCTGCAGGCATGGGCACTATGAATATAAAAAAAATGCTAATGTAACTGATTGAATTAAGGTTCAATAAAACTATATAAGAATATTGCCCAGTAACTTTATGGAAACAAATGATAAACAGGATTAGTCACAAGTTACTACTATATGTGACGAAGTGGTCGTCAGTGTAATGTACTTCACATTCCAGAAACAGATTGAAAATATACATTTTGGTCTTGTGGATAATATCAACCGCACATTAGCCGTGAGCTAGCGCTCAAACTCTTAAATCTACAGGACAATTTCAGGAAATATTTTTTGCACTTTGGCTTCAGGAAACATGAGTTGGTATTTGGCAACGCCTGATCCTCGTCTGCACATCGAGAGAAATTGAATCAATAAATAATGTTAAGTCAACAGTGGCGCCACGGGAGCCCTCCATGGGCGTGTTGAGCTTCTGTATCAAAGATTCATCAGCTTCATATCAATATTTTACCAAGTTTTCAAAACACCTCTTTAGCTCAGTTCTGTGTCTGTTTTACCGTCTGGCCCTCTGTGATACACATCATTATATTGAGCAGATAGTTAGATACTTTAATGATCCCTGTCAGAGAAAGGCAGGTGTTCTGTAGCATCAGAAACACCTCCATCCAAACAAACAAAACAAATAAGTAGATAATTCTAAAAGTAGCTAACACGAGTATTAAAATGCAACAGTCCTTCAGAGGTGGAGCATCCACTTGGTTCGGATCCTTTTCTCTGCTCTGGTCAAAGTGAGATGATGATTGCTTCTTTAGCATTTTTCAAAAAGTTAGCATTCCTAAAGTGGATATTCGGCTGATCTCCTTGGTTCGGACCATGAATCCAAGCATAAGCACTGCCTCATTTTCTATCTGCAACCATAGACTGTAAATATTAACAGACGTAGTCATGCCTATCTTGGCTGTTCTACAACTTCCGTGGTCTATGGGCAGTATCAAAAAAGTGAAAAAACGCATCTGCGCATGTGTCAGCTGCACGAGCCCCATTCATTTAACGAGTGCCTACAAAAATTCACAGCGACTAAACTCGACTGGTCCAGAACACTCCCTTCAGCATTGACACACATGTGGAACGAAGCTTGGTTTTGCAGCATGTCAGCGCACGTCATTTTGGCCACTTTTGAGCTGGGACCCTCCCCCAGTGGTTTTAACCAGATGCACAGATAGGTTTTTTCACCTTTTTTTTGTGTGGGTGGGACCACTCACGGCCGTTTTGGATAGCTCCAGTAGAGCACAATGTTTGGCCCATTTGTTTGAACGGCGGAGATAGGCGTGACATTAATATTTACATTCTATGAGTAAAACACATAAGGAGTAAACAACAATGGACCGTGCATTATACACTTAGAAGTCTAGAACTCGTTGTTCCTCCGCAAAAAAAGACATCATAGAGTCACAACAAGACGTCATAGAGTCACAACAAGACATCATAGAGTCACAACAAGACATCATAGAGTCACAACAAGACATCATAGAGTATCAACAAGTCATCATAGAGTCACAACAAGCAGACATCATAGAGTCACAACAAGCAGATGTCATAGAGTCACAACAAGCAGACGTCATAGAGTCACAACAAGACATCATAGAGTCACAACAAGACATCATAGAGTCACAACAAGTCATCATAGAGTCACAACAAGCAGACATCATAGAGTCACAACAAGACATCATAGAGTCACAACAAGTCATCATAGAGTCAAAACAAGCAGACATCATAGAGTCACAAGCAGACATCATAGTGTCACAACAAGCAGACATCATAGAGTCAAAACAACAGACATCATAGAGTCACAACAAGACATCATAGAGTCACAGCAAGACATCATAGAGTCACAACAAGCAGACATCATAGAGTCACAACAAGCAGACGTCATAGACTCACAACAAGACATCATAGAGTCACAACAAGTCATCATAGAGTCACAAAAAGCAGTCATCATAGAGTCACAACAAGCAGACATCATAGAGTCACAACAAGACATCATAGATTCACAACAAGTCATCATAGAGTCACAACAAGACATCATAGAGTCACAACAAGCAGACACAATAGAGTCACAACAAGCAGACATCATAGAGTCACAACAAGCAGACATCATAGAGTCACAACAAGCAGACGTCATAGAGTCAAAACAACAGACATCATAGAGTCACAACAAGACATCATAGAGTCACAGCAAGACATCATAGAGTCACAACAAGCAGACATCATAGAGTCACAACAAGCAGATGTCATAGAGTCACAACAAGACATCATAGAGTCACAACAAGTCATCATAGAGTCACAAAAAGCAGACATCATAGAGTCACAACAAGCAGACATCATAGAGTCACAACAAGAGACATCATAGAGTCACAACAAGACATCATAGAGTCACAACAAGACATCATAGAGTCACAACAAGTCATCATAGAGTCACAACAAGCAGACATCATAGAGTCACAACAAGACATCATAGAGTCACTACAAGTCATCATAGAGTCAA